TTTGAAGTGATTCCACACTACCGAAGTTAATTTCTTTTTCTTACCATGTCCACTATTCTCCTCCTCTTCCTCACACAAGTCTATTAGATCTTGTTGTGTGTTTGTCTGATTACGTAAGTCATCGTACGCTGGATTATCACTTGGTTGTACTGGAGTACTTCCAATGCTCGCTACTGGTGTACAAGGATTTGATCCAAACATCTACAATGGAAAAGAGGGTACTAATTTGATCGATAAAGATTGAATGGTAGGAACATATTATTAAAAAAGAGCTCTCATTCATAAGAGTAACACAATATTTTCCTAGTAACTTATAGCAAATGTGGGCCTATTTGATGGGTTAGAAGGATAAAACATAGTACACGTAGAAGAGAATTAAAGAAACTTGCTGATACATAAAAAATATTGGGGCCACTTGTTGGGATTGCACCTTGTTCACATGTAAAAAAGGTATTAATATTCCTTGACATCCTTGTTCAGCCAACAAATGCACACAGTTTCCAGTTTGCACAGTTCTACTGAAAACGAGCAAATTTTAACACAAAATAAATGTAGAAAATTAGAGACAAACACAGGCATTTCATGCCATCTTCTCAAAGCTCAACCTCAACTGCTCAAATCACTTGATTTGCAGCAAATTCTATTTGGGTTTCCAACAGTAAGAACNAACTGCTCAAATCACTTGATTTGCAGCAAATTCTATTTGGGTTTCCAACAGTAAGAACTGGGTAAGGTAATAAGGTATACATATTTAAACATAAAATCATTAAATCAATATCCAACAGAAAAATGCCTATTTGGGCTAAAAATTACATGAAAAGACCTCATCCCCTGTAAATTCAACTTGATAAATGAAGGAAAATTATTAGAATCAAGGCTACTCACAGTGAATATTAACAACGGATTGACACTGGAGACGGACGGAAAAATGCGGAGGGCGAAGGTTGGAAGGAAATCACTCCTCACTGACTGCGTCGATAGATTGCGGGTGAAGTGAAATTGTGAAAGAAATTGAAACGGTAATTAGTGAAACAGTGAATGAGTGAAATAAACCCACAATCCATTCCTCACTCCTTTTGGCCGGCCCTTTAATATTTTTGAACTTTGAAGACTAAAGTGCATAAATAATTAAATATTTGATTAAACGGGGCGGGGAACCCTTTACCCGACCATGCCCTAGGTTGAATTCCCCGCCCCCGACCCCGAATACCCCGATTAAGCTGGTAATTCCCGTCCCATTCGGGGCGGGGCTCTGCGGGTATCGGGTTTAATTGGTTTTTTTGCTATCCCTAGGATTGAAATGCAGTGTGAAGGGTGGTTAATAGGATCAATGTGACTACTTGTTGAATAAATGTGAGAATAAAGAAACGAGGTTAGTTGGAATGAAGTATCTAAAGATGGGAATTTGGAAAGGATGGAGATGGGGATAGAGTACATTCTGAAGATGGGAGGTGCTGATGGTTATTGTGGTAGGGTCCAGGGGGTGTGAACTAGCTAGACAGTACATTGACGGGTTGTTTACTGTAAATTTCAAGACTGATTGTAATATTGAATGTTTACCAGAAGAGCTAGATAGTAGGCATTGTAAGACTAATCGTTTGCTGTAAATTTTCCTACAACTAGACAGTAGACATTATAAGGGGTTGAACTGATTGCATTAATGAAAGGCATGTATTTTAACTTATTGGATTTATACAAACCAGTTAAAAATTGTTCCACTATCGTGAATGCAGGTTATTCGAAAATTAATTAATCGAAGAAGACAATCAGATTGATATGAGCTTAGGAGAAGAAACTGATATTAGTGTGCACAGTGTTGGAATGAAGTTTCATGATGAGAATGAGGTGTTCGAATTTTACAAAAAGTATGCGTACCATATCTGTTTTTGGGTGAGGAAAAGATCTTCGAGGAAGGGTGTTGATGGGGTTTTACGCTATGTAACTTTTACATGTAGTCGGGAGGGGGATCAAATAAGTGGTACTAATGCAGTTCTAAAGTCTTAACCAACAATGCAAATAGGCTGTAAAGCGAGATTGACGGCATTGAAAGATCTTAGTGACATATGGCTTATTAACACTCTTATTTTGGAGCATAATCATAGAACAAACCCGTCCAACTCAAGGCTATATCTATGCAAACGAGAAATCAGTGCATGAGCAAGAAGATACCTTGAAATAAATGACGTGGCTAAAATACCATTACATAAGAGTTTTAACTCAGCCGTAGTTGAAGCCGACGATTATGAGAGGATTACATATGTTGAGAAAGATTGTAGAAATTACATTGACAAAGTTCTAAAATTATGACTTGGTGAAGGAGACGCTGTTGCAATACAAGCATATTATTCAAAGATGCAAACAACCAATCCTGGTTTCTTCTTCAGTGTAGACTTGGATGACGAGGCTCGGCTGAGGAACGTATTTTGGGCAGATAACAGGTACAGGCAAGCGTGTAAGGAATTTGGTGACGTGGTTACATTTGATACCACGTACATGACAAACAAGATCGTGCTGTGCAAAATGCAATAGAATCGTGTTTCCAAACACAAAGCACAGATGGTGCCTATGGTATATTCTCAAAAAGTTACCAGAAAAACTCGACAGTCACAGACATAAAGCTTCTATTTTTGATAATGTACATAGGTTGGTGTACGATGTGCAAAGTTGCAAGGAATTCAAACAAGGTTGGAATACGATGCTTGAAGATTACGAATTGCTGGAACATAGTTGGTTGACTGGTCTATACAATGAAAGAAGTCGATTGGTGTCATGATTTTTGAAAAAATCATTCTGGGCGGGTATGTCAACCACACAATGAAGTGAGAGTATTAATGCATATTCTGATGGTTATGTTCATTCAAAAACATCTCTGGAGCAATTTGTAGAGTATTATGAGCTTGCGTCGAGAAGTAAAGTTGAAAAGAAATTTCAAGCCGACTTCAAATCATTTTCACACATGGTCCCATGTGCGACCAGGTACAAAATGGAGAGCAGTTTCAATCATTGTACACAATCGCAAAATTTAAGGAGTTCCAAGAACAATTTACCGGAAAGGTATATTGTGAAGTTTTATCCATTCATGATTCATACTTGTATACTACATACGATGTACGTGAGGACATTATGATCAATGAGTGTATGAGGACGAAAATGTTTAAAGTGTGCTTCCGTAGGGATGAATGTGATTTTGAGTGCAGTTGTCACTTACTTGAGTTCCGAGGAATTGTTTGTAAACACGTGATTGCAATTTTGATACGGAACCAAGTGAAAGTACTTCCCGAAAAGTACATTTCGAAGAGATGGTAGAGGGATGTGATCAGACCGTACACAAGGGTTCCGATCAATTACGATGATTGGATTAATACTCCAGACCAAGTTGGATATGAGCAAATGTGCAATGCTTTTATGAAGTTAGCTGACTTGGTAGCACATGACGAGTCATGGTCACATGAAATTATGGAGTGGATTGAATTTCAAATAGTAGAGTCATCGATGTTGAAGTCTATGACTGGGGGCTCCCAAAGCGTCGATGAAGCATGACAATTAGTTGGTGAAAAATTGTTGGACCCTAAATACACAAAAACAAAGGGAGCATCTAAAAAACTTCGCCTAAAGGGGCATCTAGAAAAACCAAGAACATGTCATAAGGTATGATTTCAGGACAATTTGTTGTAGTATATGTATATATTTTTTAGAATCACTTCACATTGAAACTGATATTTTTTTCATGACATATAGGTGCCAACGAACTCTACATCGAAAAGAAAGACAAAGTTCCGGGTCACTTATCGCCACACAACTAAATGGCATTACATAAAACGTTTATGAAAAACTTTGAAGTCTCAATTGAATATGCTAAAACGAAAACAATTGACTTGGAAGATTCCTTATGCTTAAAGTTAGAGAAAAATTCGAAAAACGACAATATGAAACTTGTAAATCACTATACGATTCAACCCCAGAATTACTTTCCTGTAAAATTTCTCCCTTGAAGCAGGAAGCTGAATCACATCTCTCAATCTAATTGCATATGCTAGTACTTATATATTATTTTGTAAATTTTCCTGCATATTAATCCATGAACTTCTCGCCGTTTACTGATTTCAATCCATTTTCCCTTCTCCTTACTCTCCTTATACCCACTTTAATCTTTTTTATTCTTCAATCTGTATCATTCAAACGCAAAAATCTTCCACCGGGGCCATTTCCGTGGCCTATAATAGGCAACATACCGCATGTTATAGGAACAAAACCCCATGTATTAGTCTCAAATTTAGCAAAAAAATATGGGCCTTTGATGTTTTTAAGGATGGGTTCTCGAGCTGTCGTTTTTGGGTCTTCGCCGGCGGTGGCGGTGGAGATTCTTAAAACCCACGACCGTGAATTGTCAGCGCGCTATGCTCCAAAAGCAACTCCAATTGAAGAGTCTGATTTGAAGAAATTCTCTCTTTTATGGGCAACTGATTGCCAACCCCAATGGAAATCAATTAGGGTTTTGTGGAAATCGGAGCTTTTTTCGAACAAAGCATTGGATTTGCAGGCTGAAATTAGAGCAAAAAAGACGGAAGAAATGATGGAATTTTTGCGTACAAAAGAAGGGGAAATTGTGAAAATAAGGGATATTGTGTTTACAACTGTATACAATACTTTGGGAAATATTTGTTTTTCAAAGGATCTGATTGATTTTGATGATGAGAAAATGGGGAGTGATTGGAGGGTGATTATGTGGAGGTTCATGGAGTGTGCTACTACCCCAATTGTAGCAGATTTTTTCCCTTATCTTGATGGCCTGGAATTGGATCCTCTTGGGCTGAAGAAGAAATCCAAGAAATGTATGGAAAAAATGTTTCAAGTGTGGGGAGATATAATAAAGCAGAGAAGAATGGAGAACGGCTGTGATGATGTGATTAATCATGGGGATTTCTTGGATTTTATGATGGCAAATGGATTTTCAGATGTCCAAATACTCTACATGCTTTTGGTAAGTCAAATATGACATGTTCAGTAGGTCGAAGTTTGACTAAAATGTTGGGATACCAGAATTTCTTAAGTAGGAATACGAAAGGAAAATCACTTTGGAGCCCACCGAAGTTTAGTATGTTCGACCTAGATATCAGAATTCAACTTAAGTAGGATTGCGAAAGAAAACTCACTTTGGAGCCCAACCCAGTGGACAATACGCATATGTATTGTCCATTGGAGTTGGCCATGCTCATTCAAGAATCGGTCCGTATCATATGCCTATGTATTTTCCATGGGAGATTTGGTGCCGTGCCAACGTGATTTTCTTCCGCGTCAAGACTTAAAAGAAGTACTTAAATGGAATGAGAATACTAATTGAGCAAGTTATTTACTAGACTTACCGTCTTTTGATTTATTTTGTTGTAGGAGATATTTCCAGCTGGGGCAGGAACTTTAATTGCAACAAGTGAATGGGCCATGGCTGAGCTGCTCAAGAACAAAGAAGCCATGGCCAAACTCCATGAAGAACTTGAAGGTGAAATGAACTCCAACTCCATCAAAGAATCCAATCTTTCTAAACTTCCATATTTGAATGCTTGCATTAAAGAAACCTTAAGACTCCACCCTCCTATAGCATTTCTCCCACATTCTGCAAATTCAGCATGTGAGGTTATGAACTACACAATTCCAAAGAATTCTTTAGTGATGGTGAATCTTTGGGCTATGGGGCATGATCCCATGATATGGGACGATCCATTATCGTTTATGCCGGAGAGATTTTTGAACTCGAATTTGGAGTTTAAAGGGCAAGATTTTGAGTTTTTGCCATTTGGTGGTGGAAGAAGAATGTGCCCGGGTTTACCATATGCTCACAGGCAATTGCAGTTAATTTTGGCTTCTTTGATATGTTACTTTAAATGGTCTCTTCCAAAGGATTGGCAGATGGACATGGATGAAAAATATGCAGTGCCATTGCAGATGAAAAAGCCGTTGCTGCTAATTCCATCTAGGAAATGTTAATGTAATTTGAAGCTTGTTTATTTCTGTGGTATAAATCTCAATGTTGCGCACACGTGGTAAGACTTACCTGCATTTGAGATATCGTGAATTAAGTGGACGGTTTTACTACTTGTGCGTGTATGCAGAGGTGCCACTAAGTATTTTCCCATGTAATTAAATTATTAAAATCTTATTACAGACTGATTTGATGATGGAGGATGTCTATTACAGTGTAAATATGTAAATTATGTTTCTTAAATATATGAACAGTGTTATTGACGAATGAAAATTTATTCGGTCTTGGTTCAAGATGAAGCCACGTTGGTCTTCGGCGCGCTCAAAGGCTCATATATTCCAAAGTCAGTCAGCCCAAAATTAGTTCGGGGGTTTTATAGGATATACAATTTTTATTAACCTTTCAACGACATATTTTATAGGATTTACAACTTTTATCAATTTTTTAACCACATACGTTCTCAACTTTTATTAAAATTTGCTAAATATCAGATTTTTTGCCTAAAAAATTAAGCAGGGGCATAGACAGTAGTGGCCTCGCGTGCTGGATCCGCCCGAATTTATAGCCACGGTCGACCTGCTCAGTTACAGACACTACAGGGAATTAGAAATGGAGGGAAGAAGGTAGTGTATTTGGGCCATTTTTTTTCCTTTTTTTAATTTTGGGTCTTTTCTTTTGTTGGGCTTTTTGAAAAAAAAAAAACAATTGGCCCATTATGAATTGCAAAGGAAATAAAAGTGGAAATTACACACAGCCCTGGATTTAGATTTACATTTTCAAAAATCACATTACAAGTTTAACTTTTCAAAAATCAGGTTTTTATATTTAATTTAATATTA